TAGTCATTTATTGTCGAGTTATAAAATTCATAAACAAAAATGAAATTTGTCTAAAAATCATCAAATTTAAATCTTCAATATCATTCAAATAGTGAGGTTTACGGAAAAAATATAAGATACCTTTTTTGTAGAGCATTACATTTCCTACAAAATTCTTCTAGAACATTTTTCTGTACAATCAATTAATGATGCGGTATGAATTTTATTCTATTAGACTGAGAAAAAAATAAAAAACTGCGATGCGGAGGATCTTCCTATTAAAAATAAGAGATCATATTTGGTGAGAATTTTTTTAAGGTAACTAGCAACCCATTTTTCCGTGGCACTTGAAAAAAAAAAGTCATTTTTTTGACCCACTCTAATTATATATATATATATATATCTCATGAAGAATTGCTGATCTTTTTCGATCATTTCTTCATATTTATATTAACAAAAATCAATAGCATAAAATTAATAAATATAAAATACCGAAGTTGAAAAAAAAGAAAAATAATTTATACAAATTTTTGAATTTAAAAATAAGCAATTTATACTTTCTGTTTCATTAATTGACATTAATTCACTTACCTGTTAACATCTCTCGTATCAAGGTGAAAAGTATTATTAATTATTTAAAAACGTTGCCAAAATTAGCGACTCCATCTGATTTTTCTAAACTTGTGATTCATCGAAAAAATTTATGAAAAGAAATTTTAGAATAAGCTAAAAAAAAAAGACGTAAAAAATAAAATAGGAAATTACTTTTTTTTATCGATCAGCTGTTCCTCAATGTAGAAATAAGATAAACAATAATTCACGTTAACGTAATCACGTAACGAATAGTTCATAATTTAGATCACTCGACAACTTTCGATTCGAGACGACATACAATCTTTATTTTTTTCTTTTCTCGTAGACATTATCAGTAATCGTTTTGTACAAATAGAAATGTGACACGATAGCGTGTCATTATGCGAGTCGCAATTCAGCTTCTCTTTTTTTGTTCATTTCCTTATCTTTGCGTATTTTTCCTTCTTCATTTCTTTCTTATTTTATTTATATATCTTATTTTTATTTCCTTTTTTTTTAACGTAAGGAATATAATTCCCTGCAACGATTATATATGCGCATATACAAGGTGTGTCATTAAAACAATTTTATCAAACTTCAGTAACGTATTCTGTCGAAAACATCGAGGCGTATGATTGTAAAAATTTTTTACACTAAAAGGAAAACGCTATTGACAGAAACTTGGAAAATCGTTGTGCTTGCGTTGATTGTTTCTCAAACAATTTATTATCGATTCGAGTTATTGTATGGTTTTTTTTATTATTTATTTTAAATAGAATTACGCAGTCGAAGATTGGTTCCGAAAACTTTGATATATATGTATATATAAACACCCTGTATATATATATATATATGCATAGAAATATATCTCCTTTTATGGTTTTCACTGAAACGAGCAATATAAGCATCCTTCCGAGCGAAAAATTACTTTTCTTATTCTTTTCTTCTCTTTTTTATAATGTTCTTTTTTTCTTGTCTTTTTTTTTCTTTTATTTTCTTCATTTGTTATAATATTCTTTCCTTTAGCTAGAAAGGCAGTGAGAAATAACGGTACATACATACGTAGAAAGAAGGAATTCGAGATTGTCATTCTCGATTAACAAAATCTTTGATCATCATTTTTTTACACATCATAGATCTCTTATTTTTATCTCTATATGCATTTCGACAAAAATGAATGCTCATCGTTGTTTTCTGTTATTAACGTGTTTGATAAGAAGAAAATCAATAATAACATTATAGAAGGCTTAAAGACAGACATACCGACAGACAGAGAGAGAAAGAGAGAGAGAGAGAGAAATAGAGAGAAATAGAGAGAGAAGGAAAGAGAAATTTCAACGATCCTTATTGTTCTCGAAGGATCAAATTTCCCTTACGTTTAAAATATCGATAAAGTTTCATTAGTTTTTAGTACCTGAAACATCATTGAGACGCGTTTTACAAATGCTCATGATTATAATCGTGTAGACCTGCATGCGAGATTGCATCTATTCCTCAATGCATTCATTCATTTTCGATGTCAGACAATTTCGGGGTTACTGGTAATGAAATTGAAAACAATAAAAGTAGAATATAATAAAAAAGGAAAGAGCGATCATAATGATAGGAACTATGAAGTGATTCTGTGAAGAGATATGAATGAAATGAATTCACGAGAAAATGAATTTTTTTACCTATCGAAAGCATATAGATGAGATACAAACAAAAAAGTATATACAGATGTGATAATGTATATGTAATAATATATATCAGGATAAACAATGAAATGTCGAAAAGATATTTACAAAAAGATTTACATGTATTAATAATTATGCATTTTCGCTATTTAACAGCTTAGTCACAGCACGTGCATGTGCAAATTCTAAAAAGGTATTGATCCGGTGAGTGTGTTTATTATTTTCTTTTTCTTTTTTTTATCAATGAAAAATTTCTATATTATATAAGATGTATAATAACTATAATACGTATGAGGGACACTCATTCCTACGTGTATAAAGTAAAGAAGCTCCTTTTCTGAACAAATAATCGTAAACGCAGACTCATTTTTAAAGATAGGTAGGATCTGTTTATGTATATGAATGTATTCATGGGTGTCAATGATATTTAGATTCCTTCTTCTCACCTTTCTTTCAGCACGATCGATTACAAAACAATAAGAATAAAAAAGGAAGAGAAGATGAAAGATCAAAGAAGAAAATTTCAATGCTGTTTATAAAACAAATCTAAATTTTGGCAGAAAAATGTTAATTAAAGTTAAAATAAAAAAAAAAAGATACAATGAAAACACAAAACGAAAGTAAATCAAGAGTAACAAATAAAGAAAAATTAAAGAAATTTTAAAAAGAACGTGTGTGCGTCG